AGCAGCAATTACACAGTAAAAACATCAATCAAGCAACTATATGGCAAATTTAAAAGTAGAATCCAGCAAGCAAATTCAACACCACAGTCTCAGCCATTGACAGCAGATTTTATATAAAAAAATAGAGATTGCAAAACAAGCTTCCGACAGCCAACACAGACCCCAACTGCAATGAGAAAGCCAAAAAACCTCGGTTCATCAACAAACCCAAAAAAAACCCATTGTCACAACAAGAACTGAATCCACCCTAAATTACCCACACCCAGCAAACCCACAAAGCAACCACAATCCACAATATACACCATCATCATAAATAGAAGCCATTAAACACAAACAGCAAAAAGGAAAAAAAAAAAAAACTTTTTGGGAAGGGAATAACTCCTTGAGGGTTCAATCACTTGGGACTTATTTTGGGAGGAAGTCGAAAGAAGCTACTGAAATCCTTGGTTGTCTCGGACGATGAGGGGATACGGGTATCAAATCGACGCCGATTTTAGGATAGGTTATTGAGATTCTTGGCTGAAAGGGAGGTTGATTTCGGGTTTTCAGCGAAAATTTGAAGAGAAACTTTAAGGAAGAAAAAGAAAAGAGAAAAGCTGGGAGGTGGTCTCTGGTGTCGGCTGCAGCTGCAACATTAGTGAAGAAAAAAGGCTGGAGGCAATCGAAGGTCTTTCGAGCAGTGGGTATTGCAAGATTATTTTGAGTTTCTAGTGAAGTTTTCTCATAAATTTAATTTGGTAAAGAGGGAGTTGAGGTTGGAGGGAATTGAAAAGGTTCTTTTGGGCTTCGGATGTTGGACATTGACGATGGGAATCGTGGAGGTAGTTTTCTGTAGCGTTCTTGAGCTATGGATTTTTTGGCTCTGGTTTTTTTAAAGAAAACTGGGAGAGTTTGAAAGAAAAAAAGCTTGAGGCAAAAAGCTTTATTGAACAATCAAAAAATGTCGTCGTTTTAAATGAAGTAGAAATAGCTTTGTTGACCCTAATCTGCATAACACCTACAGTAACCTAACTGATTTGATTTTTTTTTGTTTTCTATTTTTTATTTAATTTCTTTTTTTTTTCCTTTATGATATTTTTACGTATTTTTATTTATGTTTATTTTTGCATTATTTATGATATTTATTTGCATTGTTTACTTGCATGATTTTTTATTTGTTCACATCATTATTAATATATTTGCATAATTATTTATTAATTACATGACTTTTTTATTGATTTTTTGCATGATTTATTATATTTTTGCATGCTTATTTTTTATTTAATATGATATTTTTTGGTATGATTGTTGCATGATTATTGCATGATTTTATATTTATTACATGATTGTTTTCTATATGATTTATTATATATTTGTTTGATTGCATGAATATTTTTGCATAATATTTTTGGCATGCTTTTATTGCATAATGCTTTTTATATTTTATTGCAAGATATCTTTTTATGATTTTTTATAAAATTTTTGTATGATAATGTTGTGTAAATAAATAAAGGATTAGAATTAATTTATTCGCATGATAAAAATTATTTTTGATTAAAGCTCAAATAAGATAACACATAATTAATGTGATATCAATTTTAAGTATAATGGGGTGCTAATATATTTTTTACACGTAATTGATTCTCAAATTTTTTTCTATTAATGTATATCAAAATTTATTATTTTTAAAGACTTTTAATTTAAGTTTAAATTAATCTTAAAAATGATAGATTCACATAGATGGTAACTTTATTTTTTTTATCTAATGGGTAAATTTTTACAACCTAAACGCTATGACAATAAGTCTAAAAATGCTATATTTCAATTACAAGTCAATTTACCATTTTTTTTACCAATGGCAAACCATAAACATATCCACAACTATGGCATGGCATGGATCTTCCCATGACGAAAGAAGTACGGTTATTACTTCAACCCCCAATCAAATTCCTTCATTCATACACACTATATATAAAAAGGAAAGAATTAAGATAAAGTTTCGAGGGAAAGATTTATATAAAATTTTTTAAATGAAGTTCGTGAAATTTTTTATTAAAAATAATTAAATAAAGATTAAAATAAAAAATTAAATTGATAAATTAAAAGGTCTTGTTACATAAATTAAGTGTATAAATTTTGAAAAATTTTTAATAAATTTTAATATATTTTTTAGATAAACATTTTGTAGTAATAATATTGACAAAGTTTTTACAATTTAATAAGTATTAATCAAATTTAAATTATAAACTATATTTTTAATAAATTTTATCAAATTTGAATTATAAATCATATTTTTAATAAATTTTTTCATATATTGATCTTCATATTAAACTTTATAAATCTATCTATTTTGATATTTTGTTAAAGTTTTTATTAAATTATTTTTTTAAATTCACAAATTTCACATAAAAAAACTTAATGTAAGTTTTGTTTTGTATAAAATAAAAAAAAATCATTTTTACATTCCCCTTCTTCATATAAGAACTAGTTAACAAATTTGAGCATACATTTATAATACCATTAGTTAAACGAAATATTAAAGATTATAATCTTATAATTAGAATAATATTTAAAATTACAATATGATTATGATTTCATATAAGATTATTTTCTTAATTAATGAGAATCTTCCTTATAAATAAATAAAATAATCTAACATATATATAATTTTGTCCCAAGCTCTTCCTCGCATGACAATTGTCCAAAAAGGACACAAAAAAGAGTTTCAATTTGTTGAGGGTATTTGACTGAAAGGGGAAGGTTAAAATTGCCTGAGGGGAAAGGTTAAAAAATGGTTTATATCTCACCAGGTTTTTCCCCTTTTCTAAACTTTAATAAGCAAAACTTAAGAACACACAATTAGTGAGATAATCGGCTGCTAGTAGCAAGAAACCCAAAATCAACTATAAACATTGAAATTTAAATTAAAAATTGGTTCTTTCTCCTGAAAGGATGAGATGGAATTTTTATCTTTGCAAAATTTAAAAAGAAAAAAATATTGAGAGATGATAATAAAAAAAAAAAAAATCAGCACATTACCATCAACCACCAGACAAACCTAAACCACCGTAAATTGAAATCATCCACACACCATCAACCACCAGAGAAAGCCATTACCACCAACATCAACATACCACAGAAGACATACCAAAAAGATCCAAAACTTCACATTGAATTTTAAACCTGAGGCCACCATTACCTAATTTGAAAGCTCAAAACCCATCCCTTTATCAACCTTCAACCATAAACAACCAAGACAAGCAATAAAAAGAAAACAAAACTAGTAGCTAGATACCAAAAAAGACCAAAAATCACAATATACATATATATATATATATATATATAAAGGAGAAGAAAGAAGTTTTAGGTTCATAGTGTTTTAAGGTGTTCCAAGAGTTCAAATTTGGGGTGAAGGGAGATCTTGAACAAGGAAACAACATAGTGGGAGATTGAGAACATTGGAGCAGCGGAGATTGATGATTTTGGGGTGTTGGGACTGTAAGTTTTAGTCTAGATCTAAAGAGATGTAAAACTTTCTAGAGAAAACTAATTGGAAAAGCGTGAAGAGTAGGAAAAGAGGAACATTTCAGTGTAATTTGGTGAAAAATTGATGTCAGCAAGTGACAACTAATGGTGATGGCTCGGCGATGATAGTGGTTAAAAGCGTTGGTTTTCTAAGAAACGTGGTGGCTGTCAGTTATTTTTTGTAGAGAGGAAAGGGAGAGTTTAAAGGGCTTAAAGAGAGAAGAAAAGGGGAAAATGAAGTAAAAAAAACATTAAAGTTTTATAGTGTTGAAAAAAAACCTTGACCCATGGCTAAACCCAACCTAAAAAGCCGATCCACCTCAACGCGTTTTGATCATTGACTAGCGTTGACCACTCCTTTTGAGTCCAACGCAGTCCATTTGTATCAAGTCCAACAATATTTGGAGTCTATTATTATCTATTTTAGTTCTATGCTTATTAGAGTATAAATTTATTTTGTTGTGTATTTTATTTTGTTTTTTACATAAAATAAAATAGTTAATAAATTTATTCAAATAATAATTGTATATAATGACAGAGAATTTTGGAGTTATAAAAAATTTGTTGAATATGATGTTAGTACGCAACGTTATATTTCAAAATTTTAATTATTTATGTTTGCTTACATACTTTTTATCCTTATAAATTTAATAAATTATTATATTAAAAAAATTTTAATTTATAAAACTCAACGCAATTATTTATATATTTCTTTGCATTGAAGTACTTTTAAAGCTTTCCATATATAATAACAATAGCATAAAATGAACCCATCGCGAAACAAGTGTAGATTATTAGTTTTTTACTAATTTGAAATAATTATTAATTAAATTTTAAAATATTAAAAAATTAAAAAAAACAAATAATAAATAAAATATCACTACTAGACTAAAGTTGAAATATGACCTGTCCCTGTGATTGACATGTGTCTATTGCAGGATGATTGTGGACCGGTTGCAGGCAAGGATTTGGTGTGTCGCTTTCACTAGACCTTTTTTTTTTCCCTTGCTTTTTCGTTGTTACGGAGAATAGGTTTGACTGTAGAGGCAGCAGCAACCAATTGAAGAAACAAACGAAAACAAAAACCAAAAAAAATCTGTAACCAATCACAAGGGTGAAGTAATCAAGGAAGACTAGAACAGAAGGGAAATCACCAAGGCTTATAAAACGAAGCCTGCAATAATTTCGTCAACTTCAGGATCACGCCAATTTCCAAGTATTTGATTCATCTGCTTGTTTATTTATTTTTTAGGTGTAACATTGTTCCTCAAACATAATTTATATCATCTCAGGTTTTGTAATTTCAGACTGCAATTTGCTAACTAAAAAGATACTGCAGATGATAAAAAGTCGGCATTATAAATGCATATAGATATGTCTTCAGCAAATCCTTTGGTCCACCCAAAGAATCACTATCTATAAAAATGGAGCAATTTTTTTTATTCTCCTAAGTATAATTTTTGGGTACAGATTCAGAAAAAGGGGGGGGGGGTGTAATGGATCCTCATAAGAGGCTAGCATTAGGCACACTGGTATGGTTGGTGTTGACAGCAACTGCAGCAACAATGACAAGAGCTCAAGTGTTAGCCAAACCTGGTTGCCCTGCTCATTGTGGAAATCTAAGCATCCCATACCCATTTGGCGCAAAGGAAGGCTGTTTTCTAAACGAAAACTTCCGCATTAGATGCAATGAGTTTGCCAACTCCTCCACGGCCTTTTTAGCGTATACTGATTTTGTCGTTACCAATATCAGCATGGAAGGTCGGTTGCAGATCTTGGCTACAGTTGCCCGAGTTTGTTACGAAGATTCAGGGCACCATGCGAACCCAGGGGTACCATCCTTGTTTCCATTGTCAATTTTCAACGTGTCTAATACCCGAAACAAGTTTGCTGCTGTTGGCTGCGACACTTATGCCTATCTTCTTGGTTACGTAGGCAATAAAAGCTACAGTGCCGGTGTATGTCCCTATGTGATCGCATTGAAGATGTGGTTGACGGATCTTGTTCAGGATTCGGATGTTGCCAGATACAGATTCCTGATGGGCTGAAAAATATCATTGTGATAGCATATAGCTTTAAGAACCACTCGAAAGTGTTGGATTTCAACCGTTGCAGCTATGCTTTTGTTGTTGAAGAATGCCAATTTGAGTTCTCCTCGGATTATCTTCGATCTATACCGGAAGATTACAAGTTTCCGGTGTCGCTTGATTGGGTCGTTGGTAAGGAGACGTGCGAGGAAGCTGAGAAGAATAGATTGAATTTCACACGTCATCGGAATGAGTGTTACGAACCTGGGAACGGTATGGGCTACCTTTGCAAGTGTCCATACGGTTATGAAGGGAATCCATACCTCCCAGAAGGCTGCCAAGGTATGTGTCTTAATTCTTAACTACTGCCACTTTGGAAATTTTAAAGATTAAGAAAAAAAGAAGGGTAATGTCCCATTGTTTAAGTATAAGGATACAATATGATATATAAGGAGATATTTAAATTGGTACTGGTGAGATACTGAGTCAATTAGGTGAGTCTTTCATATCAAAGTAAATAATACTTGGTTGAGTGTAGATCTCCGCATGAAGAGAGGAACACAGATTTTGATAAAAATTTCTCAGCCTCCTCATCTCGACATATATTAGGACTTGTCCATTTAAATTTATAGATAACATATATTCTAGATTGATGGTACTACCTGTTCTTGTAGATATCAATGAGTGCAAGATTTCGAGTCCCTGCGACCAAAATGCAGACTGCATCAATTCACTAGGAAGTTTCAACTGTGTTTGTTGACGTGCATATGAAGGCGATGGCAAAAGAAATGGAACTGGTTGCAGTTCTGTACACAAAACCGAAGTGTTTTCCTTTGTTAACATTGCTCTAGGTAAGGACATTAATTTATGCTATCAAAACTTTGTGCTATTTATTTTCTGTTTAGTCCTTCAACAATTTTACAATTTAATTATCATTGCATTTAAAAGTCGTACAATTCAAAATTTTTTTTTCTCTTTCATGATAAACAGGTGTCAGCATAAGCCTTTTAGTGCTAGTGTTGAGCCTTTACTGGGGACTTTGGAAAAGAAAGCTCATCAAACAGAGAGAAAAATTCTTCCAACAGAACGGTGGAATTATCTTACAACGAGAGTTTTCAAAGCATAAAGGACCTGTAGCAGCCAAAATATTCAAAGCAGAAGAGCTCAAGAAGGCAACAAACAACTACCATGAAAGTAGAATTCTAGGGCAAGGAGGTCATGGAACAGTGTATAAAGGAATATTGCAAGACAACAGAGTTGTTGCCATAAAAAAATCCATGATAGCTGATCACAGTCAAGTTGAACAATTCATTAATGAAGTGATTGTGCTTTCTCAGGTCAACCATAGAAATGTGGTAAAGCTCTTGGAATGCTGTTTAGAGACTGAAGTTCCCCTGTTGGTTTACGAATTTATATGCAATGGTACCCTCTATCATCACCTGCATAGTTCAGGCCTTGCGTCCTTCATTCCATGGGAAAGTCGTTTAAGAAAAGCGGCAGAAACTGGCGGTGCACTCTCATATCTGCACTCTGCCGCTTATCCTCCCATTATTCATAGCGATGTCAAGTCTACTAACATTCTTTTAGATGAGCATTACACTGCAAAAGTATCAGACTTTGGGGCTTCGAGATTAGTCCCTTTGGATCAAACACAATTAACCACATTGGTGCAAGGAACGCTTGGATACTTAGACCCAGAATACTTTCAATCAAGACAGTTGACTGAAAAGAGTGATGTATACAGCTTTGGGGTGGTCCTTGTGGAGTTACTTACTGGAAGAAAGGCACTTTGTTTTCAATTGCCTGAAGAAGAAAGGAATCTAGCTATGCATTTTGTTTAGACATTTAAGAAGAATCGATTGTTCAAAATTGTTGATCATCATGTGCTTCTCGAGGACAATACTGAACAAATAAAGGAAGTTGCCATGTTGGCAAAGAGGTGCTTGAGAGTAAGAGGAGAAGAGAGGCCCTCAATGAAGGAAGTTGCAATGGAGTTGGAGGGTCTAAGAGCAATGGCGAAGCATCCCTGGGTAAAAGATGATGTGAATTCAAAGGAGACAGAATTTTTGCTTGGTGACATCTCAGGCGCTAATGGAGTTGGAGGGTCTAAGAGCAATGGCGAAGCATCCCTGGGTAAAAGATGATGTGAATTCAAAGGAGACAGAATTTTTGCTTGGTGACATCTCAGGCGCTAATGCTCGAGGTACTGATAGCAATCCCTCTGGCCATGGCAGTATTAGCCAGCAAATTATATTACATGGTCGGTAACAATGTGGCAGATATTATGTTATTGTAATATACTAACATGGTTTCCTTTTACGATTTCCCATTTTGTGAAAGGATATATAAACTCATAAACATTTCCTAACTAGCAAAAGTTTTAGCCGTACATTTTCTTTGTTTTTCTTTTCCATTGTCAAAATATTTGGAAAGCTCAAATCAAGATTAAGGCCTCTCCATCAAAGTGGATGGAGGGCTGCCGTTTCTGCCTATAGCCTAAGCATCATTTGAAAGTACGAACTCGGACCCCAACTTTATGTATCTCCTTCTCTTAAAGAAAGGTAGGACTACTTCCCTGAAGCTAAAGTGCCACTGAATTTTAGAGGAGGTCAATTTGTTACTGTTAACTGTTGCTGTGTGCACCAAGCGTGGCATTTTTGCTGCCACACTTTTTTTTTTTTATTTTCTTCTGTCGTTTTTCTGTCAAGCTTTAGCAAAATCAGTTAGTTTTGATTTTTAAATTTGTAGTGATCCACAATGTTAGACAATTGTTGTGTGGCAGTTAAAAGTGGTGGAGTTTATATATTAAATATTTTATTTATAAAGCAATGAAAAATGCAGCCACTGGTGTGAGTTTTTCCCAACAACAACAGAGTTCTAGCTAAATGGAAATATATCCTACATTGGGAGATTTCTTAAATCTTATATGGTCATTAGATATTAGTTCGAGTTTAAATCGAAAAAGAATTTTTACGTATTTACTAAAAGCAAGCATAATTAGACCTATTGAATTCTAGCGAGTCTTGTTGGATGTTGCATACCAAAAAATGACTATACTTCTTTGTTCTTGATCGTTGAATAAAAATTCCATTCATCTACTTACAGAAAAAACATGTTTATCCCATGGCGGGCTGAAAGTGAAAGGTCAGTCAATGCTGCAGTGGACCCAGCGAGTAGGGGTCTGGGACACCCCATCTTTGCTAAATAATTGCCTATTCCTAGTCGAGACTCAAGCCTCTTTGTTTACTTGCGATTAGAGATGTGAATGTTGGTCAAATTTTGATGAAAATTTTAATTTTTTATCCTAATGAAAATAAGGATGAATATTAAATTTTAAGATAAAAAAATAATATTATTTTAAATTTTTATTGGGTACATATATAAAGATAAATAATATAATATTTATTTTGTACTTAGATCTTATATATATAATAAATTAATTTTTTATTTAATAATATAAATTTTATTTTAGATTTATTAAAATTAATATATTCGTATTTAAAAAAATACATAATATATAAGTTATTTAAATGTGTAAAATAAAAATAAAAAACTTAAAAAATATATTTTTTTAAAAGTCATATATAAAAAGATTATTTATATCTATTAAATATTAAAAAAAAAAATCTTTCCATCATATCTCGTAGTTATTAACATCCCTGCTTGAAATTTATTATTTTTTTAAGTTATGGAAAATTTAAATTAAATTATTCTAGAGAAAGTCTTTTACAGGGTAGTTTAGCAGCTAGATGACGCGGTCTCCGTCAACGATATAGTCTTCATCCTTCTTTGCTAAATAATTGCCTATTCCTAGTCAAGACTCAAGCCCCTTTGTTTACTTGCGATTAGGGATGTGAATCTTGCTCAAACTTTGATGAAAATTTTAATTTTATATCTTAATGAAAATATAGATAGATATTAAATTTTGGGATGAAAACGAAAATTAACATTATTTAAAATTTTTTATTAGATATAAGTATAAAAATAAGTAATATAACATTCATTTTGTACATTTATTATATATATTTTATATATTTAATAAATTAATTTTTTATTTAATAATATAAATTATATTTTAAATTTATTACAATTAATATATTTATATTTAACTATATATAACTCTAAAAAAAATTACTTAAATGTGTAAAATAAAAATAAAAAATTTAAAAATAAATTTTATTTTTTATTTTTAAAAAAATTTAAAAAATATAAAAATTATACATACCCATTAAATACCTAAAAAATATTTTACTAATCATATACCTTATGTATTAACATCCCTACTTGCAATTTATTTTTTTTAGTTATGGCAAAAATTAAATTAAATTATTTTAGAAAAAGTCTTTCACAGGATAGTTTAGCAGCTAGATGACGCGGTCTTCTTCAACAAAAAAGTCTTCATCCTTGAAACTAACGTTATGCTTCACTAGATGAACCCCTCTACAAGAAAAAATTTCTGGACAAAGTTAGTCATGTGAATTAATTTTCTTTTTCGAAAAAGGCAACAGCTCGATAATAAGAAAAAATGATTGTTAAAATTAAAATTAAAATTTTATTAAATGTCACCCAATGATTAAGTTCCAAAATTGAATTACCCTCAAATTTACATTGCCGATTCCCACCTGCATATCTTGTCAACTACCTGTTAATTATTTGAGACTGTTGTTCATGGTGAATATAACCCAAAAATAGGTTATAAAAAAGGATAAAATTTATATAAGTTTTTTAAGTGAAGTTTGTGAAATATTTTTTTAAAAATATGATTTAATAAAATTTTTAATAAAAAATTTAGATTGATAAATTGATAAAATTCTATATGAATATTAATAATATATAAATAAATTATTAAAAAATTATTTATAATTCAAATTTGATCGATACTTATTTAATGATAAAAATTTTATCAATATTTTTATTAAAAATGTCTATCTAAAATATATATAAACATTGATTAATTTTTTTTTTATTTTACACACTTGATTTATATAATATAACATTTCAATCTATCAATTTCAATTTTTGATTTTAACTTTTATTTAATTATTTTTAGTTAAAAAGTTCATGAATTTCGCCTGAAAAACTTGATCTAAATCTTTCTCTATAAAAAACGTAAAACCCAAATGTATTATATGGATGTCATGAAAACGTCGCAACAATAGGTATTTAGGATCTTTTAGAAAAGAGATTAAATTTTTAAAAAATTTCAAATACTCTAATCATATTTTCCAAAAAAAAAAAAACTAATTAAGAGTCTACTTGGAGGTGAAATTGATTCGATAAAATTAAAAATAATAATAGTACCAAGATCAGTTACTATAATAGTAAAATTAAGTATTATAATTATGAGATAAAAATTAATATTAAGATATATGTTTAAATGTAAACACAGCTATAAGAGTGAAATAAAATGTAATGAGAAAAGAAAATAATTATTAAAAGTATTAGATTAAAACTTATATATGATAAAATTTATAATATGTTTGATATTAGTAAAATTAAAAAATAACTGAAAATAATATTTTTGTTAATAAAATAAATACTAAAATTTATTTGAAAGTTTTTAAATAAAAAAATCAAAATGAAAAAAAGAAAAGACTAAATAGCATGGGATAAAAATATTTTGAGTAGTTACTTATTTATTATATAATTATATATATTTATTTACTATTTATTAAATGATTAAATAATTGAAAAAAACCTTTAAATTAAAAATAAATAATGAAAGAGTTAACAAGAATAAATAATTTGAAAAAATTTAACTAAAAAAATAAAAATAAATAGCAAACAAAAATTTTAAAATTATTGATTACTTAAATAATTAAATAATTAAAAAAGAAACAAAATGAAAAAAAAAAAGACAAATAAAATAAGGGGTAAATTGAAAGAAATATGCGATGGAAAAATAGTAACTGCATTGAAAGACGACATCCAAACGAGTGACTAATCAAATTTTAAGCAATAATCGCACCTCATCGGGACTAATTGGTGATCTAACGGCCAAAAAAAATTATTATTGGATATGAATAAGAATAATTCATCATATTGCCATCGAAGTAAATGTTTGAATGGAAAAGCTACTATTAATACCACCTATGTTTGATTGGAAGTACATATGACGCTAAGGACTTTGACCGAGTCAATCTCGAATGTACTGTAAGAACAATTTATCATGTTGCCATCCAAGTAAATGTGCAAGTGGAAAAGCTACCATTAATGCTACTGGTGCTTGATTGCATCTACATATGAGCTTTCTCATATTATTATCACTCTGTTTGATTGGAGAAAATTTAAGAGAAAAAAAAATATCAAGAAAAATAAAGAAAAGAAAGATGAAATTCTTCATTTTGGGTGGACGGCAAAGGTTTGAAAACGAATTCTGCCGTCCAAATATGGAAAAAAAAAATCTTATTTCAATGTAAATGTACACAACTATTTCAAAAGATTCGTTAGATGTCAGAAATAAGTGACAAGACAAGGGAGGACATATATAACACAATTGCATCATTACAAGAAAATGATATTAATGGCAATTAAGGTGTATGTGGTCAAGCTATGAGTTGTTAGCTTTGAACTTTTCTTTTATACCCCTTTACTGGACATAAGAATTTGTCATTAACTTATATATCACGTCTCGCTTCTCTCTCATGCATCTCTTAGTACCATTTCTAGTTTTTGAAAAAAATATTTTTTATTATGATTTCATTCTATTTTCAAATATATTTTTTGAAAATATAGTTGAAAATATAACAATTTGTCATGACCTTATATTGTATGTGGCAGTACATTATTAGCAATTTACTTCCATTTTCATTGATCTAACTGTACTCGAAAATGACATCAATCTAATATGTGTGAAGATCAAATTCATTACTTACAATTTTTTTTTTCATATTTTTAAGTTACTGACGCCTTTTGCAGCAAAGCAACAATTATTGATTTTTCAAATAAAATTGTAGAAATTAACAGTAATTTTAGCAAATTAAATCGCTTTATTAGGAGGTGTCCATTATAAATTGCCTTTGCGTAATCAAGCAGTCAAAATTGTCTAAACACTTTAAGCTAAAAATAAAAAATAGGAAAAAAAAGGACTAAAATGACGAAGACCTGGCGTCAACTATTTACTCGTCTCCAAGCCCGAGTTGACAGCTCTCTCCAACGACAAGGCTTAAATTTGCAGTGTAAAGCAAGTAATTTGATAGCGATTGTAGGGGAGAACTGAAAAGAAAGCATAGAGAATTTCCAATATTTTATCTTATTCAGCACGTCCGTTTGAATTACGCTAGTAACTTGATTGGTGATTCGGAATTAAAATGGCTTTGAATCTTCAAACAAGCTTTCCTATAAATTTGTAACCAATATTTGGATGTTCTCCAATGTTTTACCTAGATATAACCCAGAAAAAAAAAAAAAAAAGAAAGAAAGAAAGAACTGGGGTCATGGGCTTGCGTTGTATGTTTAAGGAGCTTGCTCTGTTTGCATTCAAGTTAACAATTATAGCAACTTCAGTAGCAGCTCAAGCAAAACCCGGTTGCCAAAGCAACTGCGGAAATATCAGCATCCCATACCCTTTCGGAACAGACAGTCCTGGTTGTAATATCAGTGGTAACTTTTATATCCGTTGCGACAACACTTCCAACCCCCCAAAAGCATTCTTAACAACAAGCGATATTGAAGTTCTCAACATCTCTCTGGATGGTTATTTGCGCATCAGTGGTCCGGTAGGTTATGCCTGTTACAATTCATCAGGACGCAGTTCAGAATTCGATATGTGGATGACGTTTTCGAAATTCCCCATATCTCATTCCAGAAATAAGTTCACAGCCATTGGTTGTGACACCTATGCTTTTATCCAAGGTTCCTTCGGACATAAATATTCAACGGGATGTGTAACATTCTGTAATGACATATACGATGTGATAAATGGATCTTGCGATGGCATTGGCTGCTGCCAAACTGCTATCCCGAAAGGAGTAAGGAGTTATAATTTAAGTTTTTCTAGTGATGATTAACATCACCATGTATTGGGTTTCAATCCTTGTTGCTATGGATTTGTCGTGGAGGATGGAGCCTATAACTTCTCTGTTTCAGATCTTTATGATGTTAATTTTAGAGACAAGGAATTCCCATTTATTCTTGATTGGACAATCGGGAACCAAAGCTGCAAAGAAGCTGAAACGGATCCAGAAAATTATGCTTGCAAGGAAAATAGTCATTGTAAAAATTCAGAAAATGGCCCGGGATATTTGTGCAAGTGTCTTGATGGTTTCCAGGGTAACCCTTACCTCTCCCATGGTTGCCAAGGTAAAGATATCAAGTTCTCCATTGTGATGAATTTTTCTTATTTCTACGGTGTCTTGTACGTATGTAATTATACTTTTTGTCCAATATAACTTTTTTTAAAATGTATGAAAATTTCCAGATATTAATGAATGTGACACACTGAAGCCTTGCAATGGAACATGTCACAATGTACCTGGAAGTTATAATTGCTCATGTCCTTTTGAGGGTGATGGTGAAATTGATGCGCAGTCCTAAAGCATCAGCAGAGTGATCAGTTGTTGAAATTATTTTGTATTCTTTTTACGGTTATCATAGTATTGATTTGCTGAATTTAAGTTAGTTTGAATTTAACTAACATCGATTATGATATTATAAATATTTTGGTTTAGTTAGTACTTGTTAACCACCAGTTTTGTATTATTAATCTTCTTTGATAGTTTTGAGTTGATTTTAGGAGACTTTTCTCATTCTAAAAGTCTCACAATTGTAAAGATTTATTTGATAGTGGATTAGATTTGGAGTAGGCCATTTTGAGTTGGGCTGAACCAAATATATTTGTGTTTTCTTATTCTTGATTTGAGCTTGTTATTTTGTGTGTGGTTGCTGCGCGTGGGTATTGTTGTTTTTCCCAACAAGTGGTATCAGAGCGATGTTCGAGGTTCGTGGGTCCAAGAAATCGTGAAGCAGTGTTTGAAGATGTCTGAAGAAGGTATGTCTGGTATGTCTATGTCTAAGTTTGAGATTCCGTTATTTGATGGAAAGAGTAATTTTATGTTATGGCAAAGTACGATTCAAGATCTGTTAGTACAACAAGGATTGGATCAGGCATTGGAGAGTAGTAAGCCTGAAGGAATGTCTGATGCTAATTGGAATAGGATTCAGAAGAAGGCTGTTAGTACTATTAGATTGGCGTTAGCTCCAGAAAGTAAAGTACAAGTTGTGTTGACTGAGAGTACTCCGAAGAGTTTGTGGGATAAGCTTGAAGGTATTTATGCTTCGAAGTCATTGACTAATAGATTATGTTTGAAGATGGATCTGTATTCTCTGAAGATGGAAGAAGTATGAGTCTTCATAATCACCTGAATGAATTTAATAAATTGGTTTCTCAATTGCTAGCGATTTCTGTTGATGAGTTAAAAGATGAAGAGAAAGCTTTAATTTTGCTGTCATCTTTGCCCAAGTCTTATAGGCCTTTAGTTCAGACTGTGTTTGGTAGGTAGGTCTACTTTGAAGTTGGATGATGTGACTGCCCTGTTGCATGAGAATGAAAGGTTTATGGGAGCTCAGAACTCATCACCTGGGGGGAGTACACTAGCTGTAGAGGGTTTTGATCGAGGGAGGACTCAAAAGAGGATTGATGGATCAAGATGGAGATCTAAGTCAAGAGACAGAGATTACAGTGATGTAGAATGTTATTATTGTGGTAAGAAGGGACATATCCAAGTGCGCTGCAGGAAGCTGATAAGGGATATGGCTGCTTTCAAAAGGGCGAATGATGAGAAAAAATCAGATGAAGAAAAGAGTGATACTGCTGCTATTTTGTCTGATGATGATGATGTTGTTTTGACAACTTGTGTGGATGAGACCCAGACTTTGAAAAGTGACAAAGGTTGGGTTTTAGATTCAGCTGCTACAGTTCATGTTTGCAATGATAGGAGCTGCTTTGTGGAGTTGAATGAGAATGAAAAGTATGGGGATATTGTGGTTGCTAACAAAGAAAATGTGCAGATTCAAGGCATTGGGAGTGTTCGCCTTAAATCTCACAATGGTGTTATTAGGACACTTCGTCATGTAAGGTATGTACCAAATTGTCACTACAATTTGATTGCTTTGGGTGAGTTAGCTTCTCGAGGGTACACATATTATGGTAGTAATGATTGGTTGAAAGTGTACAAGAATGGTAGTGTGATTCTACAAGGGAATAGGGTCAATCACTTGTACATGTTTGATGGAGGCTCAGTTGCTGGAATGCCTGTGATGAAAGAAAAGAAGAAAGGTAAGCATGTTAGCTTTGCAGATACTGTTGAAGTGTTTGGAGATTCAAGTCAAGGGAGGATTTGTTGGGATTTGCCTTGAATCTCAGAATCCCACATCGAAAGTTAAGTAAGTTTGAATTTGTCTTGTATCCCACATCGGGAGTTTAGTAAAGGTATAAAGGGTTTCACCCCTATAAATAAGATGTTTTGGTTTTAGTTTAGTAACCTCAGAGAGTTAGACACCAAGAGAATAGCTAAGTGAGTAGGCTATTAAAGGGTGTAATTGGGTTTTGGGTTAAGTTTTGAGTAAGGAGTTTTAGGAGACTTTTCTCATTCTAAAAGTCTCACAATTGTAAAGATTTATTTGATAGTGGATTAGATTTGGAGTAGGCCATTTTGAGTTGGACTGAACCAAATATATTTGTGTTTTCTTATTCTTGATTTGAGCTTGTTATTTTGTGTGTGGTTGCTGCGCGTGGGTATTGTTGTTTTTCCCAACACTGTGGAACAATATTAATATCAAATGATATGAAACTAATCAAAGTTTAAACTAAATTAGTTGAACTGACCATTTTTCATGTCCTATAGATTTATCTCTTGAAGAAAATAAAAAAAAAAGAAGCTAAAATACTTTAAAAAAACTCGTGTATTTTTATAAACTTTCGAGATATAGAATACTTTTTTTTTTTATTAATTATAATCAATTGGTATGTTTAAAGTATATTTTTATTTAATTTCTTAGATTAAAGCCTGTTTAACTAGGTTTCAATCTAGCTTAATATTTCAGATCTCAAAATTTTTTTAAATCCAACTCAAATTAAAAAATTAATCTCAAATACATTCATTAAACATAATTTATTTAATAAAAAATTTTAAAAAAAAATTTAAAAAATTAAATATAAAAATTTACATTTATATCAATATATAATTATAATATTTTATTCAGGTCGGACTAGACAAAGCTCAAATTTTAATTCTTTTATCCAAGGCTCTGCTGGAAATTACATGCTTAAAAATTATATCAAAATCCATTTAACAAATTTTTATATTTTGTTTAAATCTTGTTAAAACTTGGGTGAGCTTGTGAGTTTAGACAAATAATTTGATACTTAAATATATCTATTTACTATTAATAGTTTTTTTTTTATGTATGTCTTTTTTTTTTTAATCTCATTTTGTATATTGATCCAATTCTATTTATTATTCCCGTTATTCATAGTTTAAAATAAATTAAACTAAATTAGTTTAATTATCTGATATAATAATAGTTATAAATATATTGATTATGTTTCATATTAAAAATGATTTATTATTAGTTCTATCGAAAAGATAAAACCTTAATTTATTTTTAACAACAATTTATTTTAAATAATAATATTAAAATACGTTTAGTACATAAAATTAAGATAAAATATGATAAGATGATGGTATAAATAGGATTATATTAAATAATATTATTTTATTTTGTATTTAATCTGTACAAGAATTATAATAAGATAATTTATTTATTGATCAAAATTATCATTTTTTAAAGTTTATATAATTTAAATCATTGATGTAATTTTTAAAAATATAATAGAATATATAAGTTTAATTTCATGGATTAAAACTTATTCTTTTTATTTTTAAAAAATGAAATTATCCTATATCAAAAAAATAATTAATTTTCTTTAAAATTTTATATTTATCTTTAAATATAAAACAAACATAATATAATATAATTATCATTTTATTTTATCGATCATTTTATACATCAAATATTATCTTAAAATGTTGTATTACTTATTATGTGCTTGCAACCTATGCAACATGTGTGTAATATAAATTAATAAAAAAAAAAATCCTCGATCGGGATCGGCTTAACAATTGTTCCATTCAAAAATTTTAAATAAGTCCTACATTTGAATCTTGATTAACCATGTTTCTCCCATATGTACCAAATTAAAAAAAAAAAAAACACACACATACGCACCTACAGATTAATAAACAGGACAATATATTTTGTCTTGATTACAGGTGTAGGGGTAAGTCTTTTATCTTCCCTCTTGTGCTCATCATGGGTGTACTTGGGGCTAAGGCAAAGAAAGCTCACCAAACTGAAACAGAAAAACTTTGAGCAAAATGGTGGAATTTTTTTGCGGGAACAGCTTTCAAAAAGTGAACAGTGCTGCGAAACGGCTAAAATATTTACAGCCGAAGAGCTCAAGAAGGCAACAAACGACTACCATGAAAGTAGAATACTAGGATACGGAGGTCAGGGTACTGTTTACAAAGGAATATTGCCCGATGGCCGAAGGGTTGCCATAAAAAAATCCATCATTGGAGATCAAAACCAAGCTCAACAATTCATTAATGAAGTTATTGTGCTATCCCAAATCAACCATAGAAATGTGGTGAAACTCTTGGGATGTTGTTTGGAGACACGAGTCCCTTTGCTCGTCTATGAATATGTAAGGAATGGAAATCTCTTCGACCACTTGCACAATGCTGCTCGTGCATCAGTCATATCATGGGAAACTCGTTTGAAAGTAGCCGCAGAAACAGCAGAAGCCCTTTCTTATTTGCACTCTGCCGCATCTCCACCAATTATTCATCGCGATGTCAAGTTGACCAACATACTTTTAGATGAAAATTATACTGCAAAAGTATCTGATTTTGGTGCTTCAAGATTGATCCCTTCAGATAAAACACAGATAACAACGCTTGTGCAGGGGACTCTGGGTTACTTGGATCCTGAGTACTTTCATACAAGTCAATTGACTGAGAAGAGTGATGTTTATAGCTTCGGGGTTGTTCTCATAGAGTTACTAACAGGTCTAAAGGCGCTTTCCTTTGAAAGACCAGAAAAAGAGAGGAATTTGTCCATGTACTTTGTTTCTATTATGAAAGAGGGACGCTTGCAAGAAATTCTTGATGGACGAGCGCTGAATGATAAAAACATTGAGCAGCTTAAGGAAGTGGCCACTTTGGCAAGGAGATGTGTGAGAGTAAAGGGAGAGGAAAGGCCAACTATGAAGGAAGTTGCCTTTGAATTGGAAGGATTGCGAGCAATGCAGAAACATCTTACGCTTGCTTGATGATGACCTGTATAACATTAGCACTAGCTATGATGGCTCAACTAGCATCTCGATGGGGTCTGACAGCATTAAAAACCAAGTCAGATTTGAAATTGATGGTGCACGCTGATCTCCTTTTACCTGTTGATCTTCCTTATTCTCCTGGTTGTGAAAGATGTAATCTGATTAGCTTATAATTAGTATGCTTGTTATATAACAAATTAGATCCAAATGCAGAACTCTAGTAATTTCCCTATAAATTTAGAATAAAAGTTCCATCAATAATCTTTTGGGTTTTTTTGTTTTTTTTAATACGGTTGGTAATTTTTTTTTTTGGACGATAAACCACACTCATATCGACATAATGCATTTAAGATTTTACTCTTAAAATGCTCTCCACAAGGATTGAACTCAGATTGATAAAGAAATGGATCTCTTGCACAATAAAAGGAAAAAGCAATCAAATAGATAGAAAGATCGGACAGATACTGCCTTTGGAATTATTTTTGAATATTAATAAGATTATAATATATAATATCATACTAAACTAAGCTAAAACTAAGTCTTACTATCTGTTATTATTCGGATTAATTAAATGCTGAAATCTGAATTCCATTCTATATAAAAACTCATTTTATATCTTCTCTTACCAGTCAAATAGGAGGTTGATGACCAACATGGGATTGATCAGTGGGCAAATTTTGTGGAAAAACTAAGCAAAGAAACAATATCAAAGAAACGATTGGTAACGCCAGCCAATTTCCAGTATAAACAGAAAATATTTCTGCAGTCACGTTGGATCAGTGCTCATGCCCTTGTGAAAAATGCTGTTCCAACAAATTTTGAGCTTTCCAATAATATAATTAACAAAAAATGTATCTTATACTGAATTAATGATATAGCCAATGAAAATATAGGAAGCCATACACAATGGTTAATTAGTACGTTTGCCCACGTGAATGCTCTATTCATTTCACCCTTCTTTTGGGTTGCCTGTTTTAGTAATGCTTGTTCGCCCTCGCTAAAACTCTTTATGTGAAAGGATACATAAACTCATAAAATATCCTAACTTGTCATAGTATTGGCTGTGACATTCATTTTCTAATTTGTTCTTCTTTTCGTTCGTCAAAAATCAAAATATTTGGAGAGCTCAAATCGAGATTAAGGCCTCTAAATCAAATTGGATGGAGGGCTGTTGTTTCTGCCTATGGCCTAAGCATCATTTGACAGCAGGGACTCGGACACCAACTTTATGTAGCTCCTTCTCTTAAAGAACGCCAGGAATATTTTGCCACTGAAATTTAGAGGAGGTCAATTTGTTAGTTGTTACTGTTTGCTTCTGTGTGCAGCGTCATTTTTGCTGTCACAATTTTTTAATTTTGCTTTGCCATTTTCTGCCAAGCTTTGGCGAGATTAATTAGCTTTGATTGTTAATTTTCTGGTGCGTATGTGACAGTTAAAAGTGGTTGAGTTTATGTATTGAATATTGTATTTATAAAACAATGGAAAATACAGCCACCGGTGTGAGTTCTTTCCCGACAAAAACAGACTTCATTCTTCTTCCTTTTTGTCTCCAATCTTCTTTGAACATTGCCGACAGTTACTTTTCAAACTTATTCCCTGTCTTCTAATTTCCACATCGGGAAGCTAACCTTTAGAAAGATGGGGCTGCAAGTGTTCACATGTCAGACAAACTTGAAAATTGATCACAACAATGTGATGTGGAATTCTACACGGCGGGACCCTAAAACATGAAACTATATGGAAGAGAGTTCTTAAATCTTAATTGGTCATTATATATTAGTTCGAGTTTAAATTATTATATTAAGATGATCTCGTAAAAAAATGTTTTAAGCATTCACTAAAAGAAAGCATAGCGAAACCAATTGAATCCTAGCCTTGTTGGCTGTTCCATGCCACAAAATGACTATTCTTAATGTTCTTGATCGTTGAGAAAAAAAATTTTCATTCATCTACGTACAGAAAAGAAATAATTATCCCATGGCCGGCTGTAGGTGAAAGACCAGTCAATGCTGCAGTGGACACTTGCTAAATCATTGCCGATTCCTAGTCAAGATGCCGTTTTTTTTATTTGCAATTTGCTTTTCTAGTTGGGGAGAAATTTACATTAAGTTATTCTATAAAATATAAGTCTTTTACACGATAGCTTAGCTGTTAGATGACTTGGTCTTCTTCAACAAAACCGAGCAATGTAATTAATTAATTATTAAAAATTAGTCTTCATCCTTGCAACCTCCGTTGTGCTTACGAAGTTGAACTTCTATGTTATGATGACATCATTTAAAAATAATATAAAATAAAATATAAAAATAATATAATTTATAATTTTGATAAAAATTATATATTGATTTGATAAAATTTTAAAAATTATATTTTATATTTTACATGTAAACATAAATTGTGATATAATAATTTTTATGTGAAGACCCATATTTAACTTATAAGATATTATTTATTTTAATTTAAAAATTTAAAAATTTTATGTTATAAAAAATATTTCACAAGTTGAATTTAAATTTTTACATAAATATTATAATAGAATCTTAAATTATTTCAACCTAAAATTGATAATGTCATATTTTATATTTTATATATATTTTATACGAAATAAATAAAAAATAAATAGACGAATAATTTATCAATTTTCCGGTGATCTACTCTCTTCAGACCATGCGAGAAAAAAATCTAGACAAAGTTACTCCATCTGAATTAAACTCAAATTTACATTGCTGATTCACACCTACATTTCTCGTGTTAACTACTTGTTAACAATTTACAGCTAAAACCAAAGCTAGTTGTAAATTTGTGGTATTTACCTTTTCAGGCTGAGATAACAATAAAAAAACAGTACTTCTCAACCAAACTATATATCCAAGTTTAATTACTGTTTGAATATAAACCAGTAGTTCTCTAAAATAAAGATATCCCAAACCAGTGTCGATAATCTGAGATTGCAAGCAATAAAAAAAATTACTGGTCTTTAGATACTTTATTATGCTTTACATATTATTAGCGTGTACATGTAGAGACTTGACCTGTTGATGGGACTGCTTTTACGCAGTCTTTGTGGAAAAATTGAAGGCAAGACCAAGTTGTTGTTACTTGTTTCTAAAAGCAAAATAATGGAACTTCGTGCTTAAATTTCTTTTATAGCTGCTATGATAGATGAATTGGTCTTTTACACGATAGTTAAGCAGCTAGATGGCGCGGTCTTCCTACGTTATGCTTCAAAACCGCGTCTCCAACAAAAAACGCACAGATAAGTAGAGACTTGGACCTTACGGAAAAATTGAAGGCAAGACCAACTTATTGTTACTGAAAGCAAAATAATGGAACTTTCTGCTTAAATTTCTTTTATAGCTGCACTGTTGGATGAATTGGTTGCCCATAGAAGTTTAACTTATATAAGGGCCGGCAAAGTAAGGCTTTTCTTCTTTAAACCGTCCTGTGTCGTTTGAATGAGTTTTTATGAGGTTATATCAAATGCTTTTGCAGTTCATGCTTGCAGGGGTGATATTGGCATCCACTGCAACACTGATAACAGCTCAAGCTAGGCCTGGCTGCCGCGACCTATGTGGGGAGGTAAGCGTCCCTTTTCCCTTTGGCATAGGGGAAGGTTGTTACCTAAATAGAAGTTTTGAGATCAAATGTAATGATTCCTCCCACCCTGCACAACCATTATTTGGTAATGTTGATGTCAAAAACATTTCAGTACGTAAAGGTGAGATGCGTTTCTTAAAATTAATAGCAGAAGATTGTTACAACGAAGCTGGTTTACAAGTGCAAAGAAAACAAACTAGCTTAAGACTAGGTAAATTCACCATTTCTGACACCCAAAATAAGTTTATGGCCATTGGTTGCGACACATATGCTACCATTCAGGGTTATCAAGGTGAAGATAGGTACACAACCGGATGCATGTCCATATGTGACAGCCAGAAAAATGTTAATGATTCATGCTCTGGTGTTGGCTGTTGTCAAATTCCCATTCCCAAAGGTCTGGGGAACATTACGCTAGCAGTAAGTAGCTATGATAACCATAAAAATATAACGGGTTTCAACAACTGCAGCTATGCCTTTGTTGTTGAAAATCAGTTCAATTTCTCCTCCAAATATCTTAAAGGTTTTCAAGGTGAAACAAAGCTTCCCATGGTGCTTGATTGGGCAGTTGGTGATGAAAGTTGTGAATTAGCTGAACAAAACAGCTCAACCTTTCTATGCAAGGCAAATAGCACATGTGATGGATCCTATAATGGGCGTGGTTATCGTTGCAAGTGCTTCAAAGGTTATGAAGGGAATCCATACCTCCATGGTTGTCAAGGTAATTGTTTTTTTTTTCTTTTATAAATTTTTTTATCAGTACTTGAGGTATTTATTTTGTTCTCACTGTTATCATTACTTAGACTTCTACTTTTCTCTGTTATCATCTCTCAGATATTAATGAGTGCAACTCTCCATCGCAAAATGAATGCGAAAAACCAGAGTATTGTGTCAACACTATTGGAAATTATACTTGCAAATGTGGAAAGGGTTATCATGGTGATGGTAGAAAGGATGGAACAGGCTGCATTCCCAATCAAACACAGCTGGTTGAAATTGCCATTGGTAAGTACATTGATTGAATTATACAAATAATTACAGCATCACTTAATTTCTTCCAAAGTTATCTGGCATATATATACTAGCATTAGGAATGGTTCGCAGACCAAGTTTAAGTTTTAGTAGTTCGGTGTTCAACACGTTAGATCTGCCAGAGGAAGTAGTTTAGCCACCAATTCCTTAACTGTTGGTTTATAAAGCAGTTGCAGAGGATGAATTAGTTTGGCAAGACAAAAGCCTAAAATAGTCTTGTAAAACAATTGACAAGTGACTTTTGCAGAAAAATGGCCTTTGCAACAATAAGTTGAAAAGTTTACAAATCTTCACCTTTTTTTCTTTTTAGCAAGAAATCCCTAGGAAATCCTACTCCTATGTAATATCTCACCCCCAAGATTATGGTATGTAGGGAATAATCGAATTTATTTCAAATGTAGGTATAACCATATGCATTGTAGCTGTAGTTTCTGGCAGCGCTTGGCTACACTTGCTGCGCAAGAAAAGAAAGCTTGTCAAGCTCAAAGAACAGTTCTTTAGACAAAATGGTGGTTTGATGCTTCAACAACTCACTGGAGGAGAAGCATCATCTGAAACTGCGCGCATCTTCACTGCAGAGGAACTTCAAAAGGCTACAAACAACTATGATGAATCCAGGATTGTTGGTCGTGGAGGCTATGGCACAGTATACAAGGGTATCTTGGAAGGTAACAATATGGTTGCTATAAAGAAATCGAAAATAGTGGAACAGAGCCAAATTGAGCAATTTATAAATGAGGTTGTTGTACTGTCAAAAATCAACCATAGGAATGTAGTCAAGCTACTTGGTTGTTGTTTGGAGGAAGAAGTCCCATTACTAGTTTATGAATTTGTTACTAATGGAACCCTTTTTGACCACATTCACGATAAAGGGAGGGCAGCCACCATTCCTTGGGAGACGCGGTTAAGAATTGCAGCAGAAACTGCTGGAGTGCTGTCATATTTGCATTCTGCTGCGTCTATACCAATTATCCACAGAGATGTGAAAACTACCAACATACTCTTGGATGACAACTACACGGCCAAGGTGTCTGATTTTGGAGCTTCAAGATTGGTTCCAGTAGATCAAACTCAGTTATCGACAATGGTCCAAGGAACTCTTGGCTATTTGGACCCTGAATATTTGCATACAAGCCAACTAACTGAGAAGAGTGATGTCTATAGCTTTGGAGTTGTTCTTGTTGAACTTCTCACTGGAAGGAAAGCACTGGCTTTCGACAGGCCTGAGGAGGAAAGGAGTCTAGCTAAGTATTTCCTTTCTTCATTGAGAAGGGATCGCTTGTTTGATATCCTAGAGAGTCGTTTAGTGGATGAAGAAAATAGAGATCAAATCATGGAAGTAGCTAAGTTAGCAATGAGGTGCTTAGAAGTTAAAGGAGAGGAGAGACCTTCAATGAAAGAAGTCGCAATGGAACTAGAAGGATTAAGGTTGACAGAGAAGCATCCATGGGTTAATGTAGAATCGAATTCAGAGGAGACTGAGTATTTACTAAATGGAAAACCATCCTCGAGTTACAGCTATAGTGGCAGTAGTAACAACACGTCAAGTGGGTATGACAGCATAAGAAGCTATGTGGTAATATTGCCTTTAGATAATGGAAGATGATGGCTCCTAGATTGCCAGTAAATTCCAATCTCACGATCCTCTTCTGCACTACACAAATGTCATTTACTGCTTGTAGATATCTCATTTTATCGGGGATCTTTTGAAAAATTTATTCATCTTTGGTAAAATTGTGGTTTTCTTAATTAGGCTTTAGATTATTGAATCAAAATATTTGGGGCTTGAGTTGAAATGAAATCGACCTGGTTTGTGATTAACATAGCCCAATCTTCCTTTTTCGTTTACATCATTTTATTTTATTTTATTTTGTAGATTTTATTTATTTATTTATTTTGAAAGAATGAAAAAAACCACAGAAAATAACGATAATCGGATGAGAGATAATAGATAAGAATTTTGAGAATACTCCCAAAAGTAAGGAGATAAGCATTGAACTTTTTCTATTAATTGAGTTGTTAAATTATCATTTTTAAAGAAAATGCTAACACTTCGAAACTCAATCCGTTTATATCTGGAATTCCATCTCCAAGCTTAACTCGACCCCTGTATAAGCAATACAATTCTCAACTCTTGGGGTGAAGGCAGACCCAAAAACAATCGGTGAGAGCAGCAAAATATAGAGAGAAGATGTAATTTTAGGCATTGATAGTTGGGAATTTCGGAAGTTCATTTAGAGTTTCTATTTAGGTTTCTCAAACCGCGAAGAAGAGAAACAATTTTAGGTGGCTTTCAGCCGCACAATAGCTAAGCAAGTGGTTCTGGTGGTGACAATTCGTAGTTGAAGCTTGGAATCTGTCGTTTACAGAAGGTAGCTGCTCGTGAGGAGATTGGAGGTGACGCTGCTGGATTCTAGAGGGAAGGACCGGCTGGTTACAGGGACCTCAGAAAAAGATAGAGAGCGAAAGATTTTATAAAGTGAAATAGTTCAGATTCAAGAAAAAAAGGAAAAAAAAGAAAATCAACCTTTGGTCTGAATTAAAAAGATTCAAGCCCACAAACCTGAGGTCAAGAATTCCAAGCCCACTTTTTTAGCCTGGACCCGTTTTGATTTGGGTTGTAACTCACTCTCAGGTTTCCTTTCCTTTCTTTGTTTAGTTTTTCATTGTTTATCTTTCATCATTTATTTACTTATTTATTCATTTTTTAGTACTTATGTATTCTTAAAACTTAAAGAAAAAAAAGGTTAGACTCAATAAAAAATAAATTTATCAATGTGATTTTCTTTAATTAAGATATTATAAGGGTCATGCAAACTTTAAATAGTAAATAAAATTTTCCTTAAATGAAAACACGAACATGATTTTATTGACAGTTTTTTTTTTTTCAAATAATCGATAATTTTTTATAAGTTAAAAATTATTTTTTAAATTATTAATTTTACTAAATTATTTAGATAATTTTATAAGAAAATGTAACAAAAATATTTTGAAATCCATTCTAACAAATTATTGTAGATAAATTTCAAATTAAATCTTATCAAACTATTAAAGAGATTAATTTTTTTAAAAGAAAATAAATATTTTAAATTAATCTTATTAAATTATTAGAACATTTAAATTTTAAATTAAATTTGATCAAACTATTGAAAGGTTTAATGATAAAAAAAAAACATTGTGAAAATAAAATTTTTGAATAAAAATCCTATTAACCTCTTGGATAATGTATCTCAAAATAAGATCTAAAATCTTACTAAACCATTATAAAATTTTATTACTTTTGAAAATAATTAATTATTTAAAAACATATTAATGAATTCAATGATATAATCTCTTTAAAATAGATACTAGTCTCAATGAATACGAAAAATTTTTTCTTAATTTATTATCATCCTATTTGAGTAATTTTAAAATTAATTTTTAATATTAAATTTATTTGATAAAATTATAAATATATTTTAAGATTTAAATAACACAAAATCAATTAAAACCATCATTCGAAAGAGCAATGTGAAAATGCTAAAATCTTCTTCATTTATAACTATATCTCAAATAATTTTGATTTTGTAAAATTAGAATATATCTTTCTAATATATATCCGAGTTAAACAGATTCAATTAAACGATGATTAATCATACATAAAAAAATATTAATGATGACTTTTAAAATTGAATCTAACGATTAACTTTTCATACCTATATATTATAAAACTGCTTAAATAGGAAAATTATATTACTGTATAATTTTTACAACTGGCAATTCTCTTCCTTTTCTTCAGTCCATCAAAGTTGACTTGTATAAGCTTGCAAACACGCTCGAAGAGTAATAATTTGAACCAGTTGGCCTGGAACATGTTACAAAGTTCAAACTCCAATTGAGGTTTGATGGTTCGGTTTCTGTTATTTACAAACTAGAAAGTTCATATTTCTTAAGTTGTATTTAAAATCTGACTTCTATATTTGCCAAGAATCAAGGCACTAGATAACCACGATTGGTAGACTCAGTTATATAACACCACAGTTCATGCTGGAAGTCTCGGTTTCTGGCTGCTGCATCTAGTTTCTTTCCATCATCAGTAGTCAAATCTTACGCCATAAGGATTTTAACATTGTTTATAATGATATGAGATGGAGATAAGACGTCTCTCCAAATTTATAATCTAATAGTTTCCAGGAAAGTACAACATATAAAATGAAATGAGATAAGTACAAGTGCAAGATATGCAGATATTATATAGAACCCATCCTTTTCAGACCTCAGCAGCCACAGCCTTTACCATTTTCACTCAAATTTTTACATGATGTGGAACAATAAGTCAGCCGTTAGCCTTGCAAGTTTCGGTTAAATATTTTATTTTCTATCCTTAAACCTCATCGAAAAATGCCTGGTGGCGTAAGAAAATAACTGCAGAATCTGATTTTTAATCAGAAGAATGGAATTGGCACAAACAATTGGGCATTTGATAACAAGCAACTACAAAGATGTTGCGCTTGATTGCAAGAGTGGTAATCAGGCTTGGCTGTTGCTTTTTCATGAGTATGTAAAAGACAAAGTGAACACCATGAAGATGTTTCACTTGAGCCCAGTGGTTGTTGGTTCTTCTACTTTTAAGCCATTCTGTAACACCCCAAATCCATTGAGATTATAATTGAGATATTATAAGGATCTGTTATGGTATACATATAGAGAATTGCTCAAACTTATAAAACGCCTTTTGTGATACTTACAAAACGCCTTTTGTGAACAAAACCCGGAAATTATAATATACACGGCTCATCAGAGTTCATCCCTACCAAACAAGGGAGAAAAAGGACAGAACAGAAAGAAATAAAATATAGACTTTTAGAAAGAAATAAATTATATGTATTGTCATTTGCATTCGTCAAGGCTTTGGCACCCTCATTTTTTATAATGTAGCTTCTACTTTATTACTAATTAATTCACCTTGGCGGCCTGGTCAAGGAAATGGAACTACAACATTAAATGAAAATATGGCTCCATTTGCAGGACTAAGTCCAAAAGAATAGACAAGAAGATTTTTCAACGATTAGTGAATCCGGAAGCGTGAATTTAAATCTCTATATATCTATCATAGCATAATCTTAAATTATATCGATGTGGGATTAGGGTGTTACAAAAGTAGTCCGTTGAAAGCTTTTGAAATCACAAAATGGATATTTTCCCTACGAGTCCTAATCGTAGAATGAAAACAATGGCTTTGCATCGATTGCTTTTGCAGCATGTCATGTTTGTATTTATCATTTTTGCAAGAGAAGTGGCCTCACAAACCAAGCTAAGCTGCACTGATCGTTGCGGTTCCCCTGCGATTCCTTACCCTTTTGGAATAACTGGTGGTTGTTTCCTTGACGAATCATTTCTCATTACTTGTAACACCACTTTCAGCCCTCCAAAACCATTTTTAGGACAAGGCAATACACATGCTTTAGTCCTGAACATTTCTCTAGATGGTGAATTGCGATTATCATCCTCTATAGCCCGCGAATGTTATAATGCGTCAGGCCGGCTAATTGAGGAGAGAACTTCTCGGCTCGATTCGACAAAATTCCCCATTTCAAATACACGGCTGTTGGTTGTGATACTTTTGCAGCTATTGCGGGAACAAGAGGACAAAACTATACAACTGGACGCCTTTCCCTTTGTGACCAACTTGACAATGTGGCTAACGGATCTTGTGCAGGCATAGGCTGTTGCCAAACTATGATCCCAAGAGGAGCAAGGAATTTTGGTGTAGCCGTTGCCAGCTTGAACAATCACTCTATAGTTCGCAGCCTCAACCCGTGCAGCCATGCCTTTTTGGTTGAAGATGGGTTTTATAACTTCTCCGCTGCAAATCTTATAGATTTGCGGGGCAAAGAAGACATGCTTGTGGTTCTTGATTGGGCTGTAGGAAACATAACATGCCAAGAAGCTCAAAATAATTTAACTACCTATGCATGCCAGGCAGCTGACAGCAAATGTTTGGATTCGAGCAATGGACCTGGGTACCGGTGCAGATGCAAGACAGGTTTTCAAGGAAACGCTTATCTTGTTGATGGCTGTCAAGGTACAAACATAGTATATGTGTTTACTTGTTTCTTCTTAAGTTTATGCTTTGAATAATTAAGATGTAAAAAATCTTAGATGAATGCAGGTTTAACTCAATTGGTTCATACAAATATCTTAAGAGATTTCATCTAGCAAGTTTAGAGTTCAAATCAGAATATTTACAATCCCTTTTCTTATCTTAAGCTGCAACTTCTTTTGTAATAAATAAAATCTTATGCGATATATCTTTTACTTTGATTGGAAGTTGGATTTCGTTTTTGATGGGCTCCATTTTCTCTCAGATATTGATGAGTGCAGAACTTCAAATCCCTGCAGTGGAACATGCACAACTTGCCTGGAAGTGTTTTTTGCTCTTGTCCAGAAGGGTTTGCAGGGGATGGAATGATAAATGGCACAGGCTGTCGTCGTACAGTCAATCCGGGCGATCAAAGGAGCTTGATAATTCCATTGAGTAAGTATTCTGTCACAGAATTTTAGCTCTAAGACAGTAGTTTAACAATTCTAATTTCCTGCAATTGACATATAAATGTTAATAATTACATTAGCACTGAAATTATTATATCGTTTTTGCATCACTTGATCATTGATATTATGTTATCTTGTTGCTTTGGAGCAAAAGAATTATTAACGTGATTGGCAACACTAAGGAGATTTAGAAAGAGTCAGAATTGGATACTACTTTTTTGACTTGTTCCTACACCTTTCGTTTAATTCGAATACGATTCTTAGGTAGAAATCTTAATAAGTTTAGGTGAGCACTTAAACATCAGACATTTTATTGTGATGATATTAAAAAACAATAAAAAAATCAATGAATAGAAAACTTAACTATTCTATATTTATTTTATAGTTATTAAGATTTGAATCATGATTGCGAGAATCAAGAATTCAACATTCTAGCAATGCAACCAATTGCGTGACTGTTGGCAAAATGTTTTATTTTATTCAATGCAGCGCGGTTGCCCCGTATGATTCAAACGCTTAACTAATTTCTTAATTCCTGAATTGAACTTGTTAAAATGGAAAAATGGCAGCTAATTCGGAACCCTTTTGTCTTAATCGTTTTACGTGCAGTCCAACTAAGATTATTAAGCTTGAATCTTTAAGACTATTTCATTTGTCAGAATCTAAAGGAGAGTTTTGGAGTGTTTTTAAATGTGATAATTTTCTGTGCAGGTATCAGCATAAGCCTCTTGGTGCTAATTGTGGGAGGATGTTGGATATATTGGGGTTTGCAGAAAAGAAAGCTTATCAATTGGAACTGCCAGAATTTATTCTGCAGAAGAGCTAAAGAAAGCTACCAACAATTACCATGAAAGCAGAGTCCTTGGCCAAGGTGGCTATGGAACAGTCTACAAAGGAATATTTCTAGACAACAGAGTGGTAGTCATTAAGAAATCTAAAATTTGTGACCAGAGCCAAATAGAGCAATTCATCATCTCTTTCAAATTAACTAGAGTGCTTGTGTGTTTTCTTGTACGAATCTAATGATCTGATTACTCGATTAGAAAGACTGAGTGGTTATAGCTCTCCTTTATTTTGTTAGGACAAAACGTGGAGACCAGAGCGGATAATATCTCACAAGGGTGTGAATCGTGACGATTAGGTTGATTTGGGACGCCGGAAGGGTGAATGCCCGGGTCCCGAAGCCACACGGGTTCGGAGCTTAAGTCTCAACCCGTGATAAGTAGTATCAGAGCTAGTCTCGTGACGAAAGTATCACGAGATTGGGTGGGTGAGAATGTCACGGACCTAAGGAGGAGTCCTGAATCCCACATCGAACATAATAAGAAGGTCACTGGAGTATATAAGGATTCACACCATCTCTTTCGCCTTTTATAGGATAAAACCATGAAGCCAGGGGATCAGAGCGGATAATATCTCACAAGGGTGTGAACCGTGGCGGTTAAGCTTATCTGGGATGCCGGAAGGGTGAATGTCCGAGTCCCGAAACCGCGCGGATTCGGAGCTTAGGTCTCGACCCGTGACACCTTCACTGGTTTATGAATTCATTATCAATGGGACTCTTTCAGTCCATCTTCATGATAAACTCTCTGCGTCCCTCACTTCCATGGGAAATGCGTTTGAAAGTTGCTACAGAGACGGCAGGAGCGCTTGCATACTTGCATTCAGCGACGTCGATGCCTATAATTACAACAGTTACACAACAAAAGTGTCAGATTTTGGAGCTTCAAGGCTGGTGCCATTGGATCAAACGCAGTTAACCACTTTGGTGCAAGGAACATTAGGATATTTGGACCCAGAATACTTCCACGGTAGTCAACTAACGGAGAAAAGTGATGTTTATAGCTTTGGGGTTGTTCTTGCTGAGCTACTAACAGGCAAGCAAGCTCTTGCTTTTGATAGGCCTGAAAAGGAAAGAAATCTTGCTATGTACGTTGTTTCTTCAATGAAAGAAGATCCTTTGCTTGAAATTCTGGATGATCACATCGTAAATGTGAGAAATATTCAGCAGATTAAGCAAGTGGCTGACCTAGCAAAAAGGTGTTTAAGGGTTAGAGGTGAGGAAAGGCCTACCATGAAGGAAGTAGCGATGGAATTATAAGGGTTGAGAGTTGTGGAAAAGCATCCATGGATCGAAGTTGATTTGGGTTCTCAAGAAACTAAGAACTTGCTTCCAGTACCTTTAAATATTGTTGTTGCGAATAGTGCCTCTACAACTGGTGGGTTTGATACTATGAGAGACCAAATATTCTCACCACCACTTCGTGGTGGCCAGGTGATCATTAATTCGCCCAGGAAGATTCATGTGCAATTGTGCACCAAAATTTTGTTTTTGATTGTTTGCAAAATAAACAAAAGGGGTTTCATAAACTATTCATATGATCATCCCTTTTAAGTGAAGGAATTGGTTCATATTTTTACTTTTATCATCATCGACCAAAATCCAAAACCTGGAAATTAAAAGAATGGTTTAAGGCACGCACGCTACTTTCAGAAGTTGAAGCTTTACAGGGGGGCATAGTTTCACATGACTGATCTATAGTCTCTTAAGCTTATCCTGAAATAAAAGAAAAAAAATTAGAAAGGTAAGATATT